GTAGTTGTTGTAGTTGTAGTTGTTGTGGTTGGTGTTGTTGTTGTTGTTGTTGCTGCTGTTGCTGTTGCTGTTTCTGTTGTCGTCGAAGTTAGGGTAGTTAAGTTAGTGAAGTTAGTTAAGTTAGTCAAGTTAGTTAAGTTAATCAGTGTCTACTTTTTTCGACATCTTCACGTCAAAAAAGGCTCAAAACCCTCAGTTTTTTACACTTTTGACTTCGAAATGTGCTTCGCGCCACAACGGCGTGCCCTTTTTCGACACTTTTTCGACATCTGAACCTCCAAAAGTGGTCCGAGACCGTCAGTTTTTAACACTTTTGACTTGGAAATGTGCTTCGCGCCACAACGGCGTGCACTTTTTCGACATCGCAACCTCCAAAAGTGGTCCGAACCCCTGGTGTTTTGTACATTTTGACTTGGAAATGTGCTTCGCGCCACAACGGCGTGCACTTTTTCGACATCTCAACTTCCAAAAGTGGTCCGAAGCTGAGGTGTTTTGTACATTTTGACTTGGAAATGTGCTTCGCGCCACAACGGCGTGCACTTTTTCGACATCTCAACTTCCAAAAGTGGTCCGAGACCGCCAGTTTTTAACACTTTTGACTTCGAAATGTGCTTCGCGCCACAACGGCGTGCAATTTTTCATCTCTCATCTGGCCAGCTGGCTCCGCACCCGCCGTTTTAGCGAGCCTACTTTTCGACCCTCCGGAGCCACAAATCATTGGAAAAACACAGTGTTTCGCGACTTTCCTACCTTTTCGCGCATCTGTATCTTCTGTCCTCTTACTCTTTCTCTTCTGATCTTTCTCTTCTCTATGCCTCTTCCCTGCTCTGCTTTTCATCTCTCCATATTGTCGGAAGTTTGACTTCTAAACTTCCTTCGATGATTTCTAGTCAGACGTTGCACGCTTGGCTAAACTACAAGTCTCCACTACGTCACGTAGTAATTCCTGGCCTCCTTTGCTGCAATGTTTCCTCTGCGTTTTCTCCATGAACTGATGCACCCTATTCGCAAAATAGCAGGCAAACGGCTGAAAAATGCAAGCAGAACTGCTCCCCATGTTGAGGTTCTGATGTTCTTCGTTCGGGTTTGTAGAAACATGATTCGGATTTGATAAATTCGACCATCATTCGAAACTGACAAGATGGTTGATCCATTCCGATCCTGAGCCGCTCCAGGACCTCTGTGTCTCCCAACGTTAGCAGAGCCTCAACAGCCTGGGCCATGGCCAAGCACGGCCAAGCCAGATCCGTGCAGACTATGCAAACTATGCAGACTATGCGATGCGAATCGATGCCAATCGATGAGATATGCAATACAATATAATGCAATCTAATAAAATAAAAAAGAATAAAATAGAATAAAATAGAATAGAGTATAATAAAATAGAATAGAATAGAGTATAATATAATATTATATCATATAATATAGTTGAGTATAATATAATATAATATAAAAAATTGACAAGAGTAAAATATAATATCATAAAATAAAATAGACTAGAATAGCGTTTGAAATAACATAATATACTAGAATAAAATATGATGTAATTTAATTTAACTCAATAAAATAGACCATAACATAACATAATATAATAAAATATAGTTTAATAGAATAGAATAGAATAGAATTAGAATTAGAATTAGAATAGAATAGAATAGTATATAATATAATATCATAGAATAGAATTTAACATCATAGAATATAATACCAAATAATATGATAGAAAAGAATATAATAGAATAGAATATAATAGAATAGAATATAATAGAATATAATTTAGTATAATATAATAAAACATAATATATAACTTATAACATAATATAATATAGTTAATTTAACATAACATCATATAACATCATTTAATATCAAATAATATCATATAATGCGATAGTATACATGGCGATGCTATTTGATATGATGTCATCCGATATGCCAAAGTCTTCTGCCGTCTTTCTTCTTGCCAGCCGAACCTCACCCTTCAAAAAAAGTGTGCCCCACGCCGGGGAGTTTTGATTAACATCAACAGCTACAGGAAACTAAGGGCCTACAGGAAGGGCTGCTGACTGACAGCAGCGTTTGATTAAAAGAATCGACGAATGATTAGCTCGCTGAATGCACTGAATGCTTGAGTGGCTGAAGTTGTTACTGAAAGATTGGATGAATTACTTATTGAATCTTATTGATAAAACTGAATTAATCGATCGTAATGACTCAAGGGCCGACCCTACATGGTGCAACTTGGCCCCAAGCTGGGGGCAACTTCAGCCCAAGCCAAACGGCCCAATACGAAATCGTCAAAAAAATCGTTTTCACGGGCGCGTTCCACGTTTTTTGGGCATCGACGAAGCTTCGCGTTGACAGCAATGTTCCCTATGTTGTGTCTCCGTTGGACCCAAATTATACGAAGCTGTCACCAGAGGGTCTCAAGTTGGGCCATGTTGAACATGACCTGGACCTCCATGTGCATCAACATAGCTTCAACTTAGGGTCTGGATCCATTTGGGCCCAACTTCCGCCAGCATCAACTTGGCCTCGACTTGGGTCCAACAAAGCACCACTTGGGCCCAAGTCGGGAGTGGGCAGCTGGGCCGACACGCTGAAACGTGCGTCTTTACGTTCATGCTAGGCCGTGTTCCCCCCAGTTGGGCTACGTTGGTCATTGTTGGGCCCAAGTTGGAACCAAGTGGCCCGAGTTCGGCGCAAGTTGCGCCCAAGTGGAGCACAAGTTGGCTCGTGTTCGGCCAAGGACGGCCAAGTTTGACACCAGTCGGCTTTGGTTGGTCCAAGTAGGCCCGTGTTCTTCACCCCGCATCCCCACCTACCAACTCCTCAACTTCGAAAAGCCGTCCCTGACCTGCACAATACATACATACCATACGATACGTAACGTAACGTAACGTTTCATTACATTACATACATATCTTCCTACCTACCTACGTGCCTGCCTACCTACCTACGGACGAACCTACGTACGAGCCTACGTACGTACATAGGTACATATGTACATACGATTACATACGTACCTACAAGCATTAACATACATTAACATACATTAACATACAATAACATACAGTAACATACATTAACACAACCTAAGATAACTTAGCATAATTTAACGTCACATCACATGACATTGCACAACATAACATAACAGTGATAACATAACATAACATAACCTAACATAACATAAGATAACATGCATGGATGTATGTATGTATATATATATATATATATATCGGGTGCTGGCGGTACTCGTCGCGAAGCGACTCGAATAACTTCACTTTCTGACTATACCCAAAAATCTTCAGGCTGATTTCAACAACAAAAAGGTGTCACTTCAATACGTTCTTTTGCGGTGGTTTGGGCTGGCTGCTTGGAAGGTTTTGAAAAATGCTTTGTCCATCGAATTTTGAAAAAATTGATTGACTGTAAAACTGCCTTTAGTTGTTCGCAAATTGGCCTGTAAGGGTTTCACATTGAATCAAAGAACCAAAAAAATCTTTATTGTGTATGGCAAATCCCAGGTTTCGAATTCGGGTCCCAGCGCCTCCATGTAGCAGTTGAACTCCTTCTTCTTGTCGCTCAGCCGCTTGAAGTTCAATCTTGAGGCTTTAAAAGGGTAGCTGCAGCAGCAGCAAAATTGGAAAATGTGAGCATGCAGCGAAATGTCTATGGAAAATGCTAAATGAGGTCATGCGCTTCACCACTCCCCCTTGGATGACTCGTCAGCTGTCATCCAACTTCCTATGCTCAAACTACCCTATCCTGGAAATTTTGTACAAAACAGACATCCTCGAAATTTTCTCGTTGACTGATTCCTCGGGCATCGTGGATCGGTGTGCAATGTCTGGCCAGTGGTAAGAAGCTGCAACGGACTTCCAGGAATCGGTCTCCCCCTCGTCCTCATACCCACTTCACTGCAAAGCTCGCACCACTGGAATTCTCTGGCATGCCCAGTTCTCAGCCCCTGCAATTGAGTGCACGACCGGGTGGCATGGTACACCGTTCCATGCGAAACACCAAAAGCCCAAGTCAGCATTAAAGTGATCTTCCTGAATTGGCGGAAAATGCCCCTTTTGATTGTAGTGCCTCCACAGCGTCACCTCATCTGCAGCAATGTCTTGGATGGCATTCTCAATGTGACCCGTCATACTCGTTGAAGTTGATGAGCTTCCTTCTGAAGAGCTGGAAGCATTTTGACCCCTTTGACCCATTGATCGGGGCCCTCCGCTGAGTGGGCTCAGCCGGGAGCTGGACTGAGGGTCTCTCCTCCCGTTCTCACCAGCGAGCAGCTGCCCCCTTTGGGAGCTGGACTGGAAGCCACGCCTGGACCTCCAACCGGTTCTCACCAGGGGCTGATGATTGGCCGGCTCCCACCAGGAGCTGGACTAGAGGCCGATTCGTGGTCTCCAACCCGTCCTCACCGAGGCTGACAGAGCCGGCAGGGCCTTTCCGTCATCCCACTCTCCACTGTTCTGTAGCGCTGGCCACGTTGCGTGTCCACCTCCGCAGACTTCGGTCACGGCCAAAAACCCATTCATTGAGGTTCCTGCCACATTGACGTACTCCTACCTTCCACAAAGTCTGGACCACAATCGTGATCAGCACCACCAAGACGGTGTAGATCATCATCAGTTGGCAGAGCTCTCCATAGTTCTCTTCTTCCTCTTCTTGCGCATTGGACACTGGCAAAGTGGCTGCCAGTGTGATCAATTTGATGGCCGTAGCGGCCACTTCTGCAACTCCTGTTTTGATCGCTTTCTTTTCGGGCTTTTCATTCACTTCTCCTTCTTCTTCTGCTGGACGGTCTACCTTGTTCATGCCCAGCATCGACTTCAAAACCTCGATTCTTGTGGAGGTCAATGCTTTTGTGCCAAGATCGGCAACCATGCGTTCTCCTAAGCTGCCAATCACCTCGGAGCACAGACTGTCTCGCATAGGCCCAATGTAGTCGAAGATGTCTGGTGCGCCATGATCCCCCTTCAGCCACCAAAATGGCCAACGCAGCTTGGGAATCACAAAGTGCCATCTTGTTGACCTCGCCAAAGAGCTCGGAGATGATCACGTAGACTGATTCGCCAGCCACCATCGCTTCAACCAACTCCATAAGCTCCGACTCAGCCGTGCTCAGGGTGATCGTGCTCTGTCGACCACTCCTCCAAAACATCAGGCCACCATTGATCGTGACCACAAAGCATCCATGCGACTCATCTGAATCAGGAGCAAAGCTTGAGTCGGAGTAGACGTACAGCGTGACTGGATCCTCTGGCTTCTCTTTATAGGAAAGCCCCTCTGATTGGGTCCCTTTGAGGTAGGAACGCATCTGCGCTGCAGTCTCTTTGATGCACTGGGACGACTTCAAGACATTTCCTCCCATTCGTGAAACTCCAAACATCAAATCAGGCCTGGTCCTGCTGACAAGCCACAGTAGTTCGCCAATCAGCTTCTGCGAGGTCTTGACGCTTTCTGCTGATGGCTCCATGGTGTCAGGCGTCATCATCGCCTGGTCTCGAGTGATGGGAAGTTTTCGCTGCTTCCCATGATCTTCATATCGGGCAAAGAGGTCTTTGACGTAGGACTCCTGGGTCATCCTCCATTCCATTTGATCCTCCCCCTCAACTCCACGGCTTGTGACCTCCATGCCCAAAAATCTCACTGGCACTTCACCCGCCTCTTCCGGGGTCAAAGTCTTCCATGTGCTTTGAAACTTCGCAGCCACCTCTTTGACGACCTCCTTTTGGCCTGAGATGAAGATGTCGTCGACATACGTCATCACCAAGCCGACAACACGGCCATTCGAGATCAACTCCTCTTCATCCTCCTGCAAACCATGCTCTTCCACCACCACCTTCCACAAGTTCTGCTCTGACTCCATTGGTTTCAACCTCAAAGTCACTGGAGCCTCATCTAAAATCGCCTCAATGCGGAAGCCCCTCATGGTTGAATCCCGATGGGCTCCCCAAAGCTTTGGTGACCTGCGGAAGCCATAAACTGCGCGGAGAGGTTGATACAACACATCCCTCCTCAAAAATTTGGTCTCCTTCAGAATGTGAGGTGGTCGAACAAGAAGTAGGTCTTCGTCAGGATCCTGCTCCATGTCGGCATTCAAAAACGCCGTGCGCGCATCTAAAGTGCAGCCAGCCCACCTCATCTTTGAAGATACCCACGCCAGCAGGCGAAATGCCGTGGCATCAGCACCAGCGGAGTAGTTTTCTTCTCCATCACGTCGTTCCTCATGATTTCCGCAAACCACCCACCTGGTCTATTTCTTTCCAGCTTTGTCGTCTGGTGACGGCTTGATCGTGAAGACCAACTTTGAAGGAATGATCTCCAACTTCTTCCCTTCTTTTTCAGCCTTCTCTCAGCCTTTCTACCTCCTCTTTCGTCAGCTCTTTCAACGCTGACTTCTCCACTGTTAAGGACTCCGCCTCGCTCTGCACGGATGGAATCCGTTCTGGCCAATTCTTGATGACCTCCTTCGGGGAGACAATCTTGGTCTGCAATATCTCCTCCTTCTCATCTTCAACCTGCGCAATCTTTCACAATCTTCCAAGGATTTTCAATTTCTCGGCCGCAAGTTCAGGATCATCGTTGATCAAGCCCTGCATCTCCTCTTCCACCACCTTCTGAACTCTCATCCTTCCAACCTTTCCAAGCTCCTCCTGGACCTCTTCTGGGTTGGCCACAGGCGCATCCATCTTGCGCACTGCCGACTTTCCTCTGATATGCCTCCTCCGCTCCTGTGCATCTCTGCCTTCTCGCCCAACGGCAATCCAAACTGTCTCATCTTCTGGTCAGGACGTATCTCGTCAACCTCGGTCTTTCTCCATCTTTCACAACCCAGTGACCGTGGTTCTCAACTGAAGGGCAAAGGTAACGAACCTTCTCAACTCGTGTAGAAAGGTCATCTTTGTTCCATGTCCTTTTTCTCACCCTCACCTCCTGCAAAAACCTCGGCCATTCTGGTTTGGTCTCCATGCGCACGCATCTGTTGACCTCATTGACATATCTCAATGCCCACGGCCACCACTTTGAGTCCTCCTCTGCTTCTCTAAGAGTTCGACGGATCTGGTTCTTGAAGGCCTTGACAGCGACCTCCGCCCTTCCATTTCCACTGGGATCATCTCCAGGGGTCTTTGTCAAATAGATCCCCCTCTGCTTCGCCCACCTTTTGAACTCGCCGGCAAACTCATTACCTTGATCAGAGTGAATGCGTCCAACATGGAACCCTTCAGTCCTCAACCTGAGAACAAACTCCATCACCGTGTTGGCCACCTCCTTGGCTTTCTTTGATGCCATTGGTAGCGCCATTCTGGACCTTCGAAGTTCAGTGACCTCGTCCAAATTGGGAGGTCCTTGGGGCGCACCCGGGAGCTGGACCAGAGGCTCATCCGCAGCCTCCGACCCGTCCTCACCAACGCCCGGGAGCTGGACCAGAGGCTCATCAGCCTCCGACCCGTCCCAAGGCCTTCGCCTGGCGCGTCGTCGGGGAGCTAGGCTCCTGAGCCTCCGACCCGTTCTCACCCAACGGCATCGGCTGATCTGCCGGTATCGCCGGTGCATCATCCGGCACAGGCTCCTCCTCCGGATTTTTCATTTTGTCTGTCCCTTTCGGAACCCTCCAAGTGAGCACCCCTGCCAGGAAGTATCTAACCTGATGTCCTCCAAGGTCATACGCAGGTTTCAAAGGTCCAGCCGTGTCAATGGATAGGACTCCTGCAATGGGATCTTTGACTGTTTGATGCGGTGGGCACTGCTGAGAGCTTTCTTGGCAAACTCTGCAATCTCTTCTGTAGGGAACATGTCGGAAGGCAAGGTGTTCTGACCATGTCATGGCCTTGCTCATCACCTTTGGTTTCTCAACCTGACGCATCAATGCCGACGCAACCATCGACATCACTCCTGGTGCCTACTCGACAACCCTCCCATTGACCCTTAGTTGAAGGTGGTTTCCTCAAAAGAAAACTCCTTCGCAAGGTCTTTCCACTCCTTTGTGTCCCACCAGCTGACGACCTCTGGCATGAAGTCATGTGGTGAAGCAGGCTGCTCCAAAGCAAAGACCACCTCCGCATCGATCTTTCTGGCTCTTCTCATGCACGCTGTCACCATGTACAAAAATACACAGCGCCACATGAGAATGTCATCATCATGTAGTTTCTTCTGTTCCTCCTCCGTTGCATCTTCAATGCCGAACTCCTCACCTCCCCAACGCCGAACAGGCCTGGGTGCATTTGGATTTCCAGGAACTGGGATGTGACGAAGTAAGCTTCTGGTGCGACAGTTAGGACCTGCTACCAACGCATTGATCTTGCCCTCCAAGGCCGCTCTGATCAACCCACTGTATAAACCAGATGGTCGGACAACATGTCATGGCTTTCACCTCTCAAAGCATCTACCTCAACCAAACTTTCCACTGAATCTCCAAGCTGCTTCAGGGCATGGCGCAGGGTAAATCCAGAATCAGGCCCTGCGTAGAGGTGCAGCATAATGCCATTCCTTTTCCATCTCTTCCTGGAGTGGCGGTTGCTGGGCAAACATGACCAGTCGCCTGGATTCACAAACAAGCGCTCCTTGACATGGCTCGGCAACGATGACAAAACAGGGTGTTGTTGAGCCAACTTCTCCATCCAAGCCACCTCAGCATTGAACTCCACCGCCTCCCTCGGGATGCCAAGCTTGATGTCCTCCAATTCGGAGATCAATGTCAAAGCTTCTGCCCTCGTCACGTGGGGACAACCGCCCTTCATCATCACTTTGAGATGCCGTCGTTGAGGATGCTTGATGCACATAGTTCCCTGGTCCCATGAGATGCTGCAATTCAGCTTCTGCGACAACATTCCCATGGGGATGATTGGTTCAATCGCCTCTGATGGCAAAATCATGGCACCACCAGGAGACATCTTCAGCCGCACTGCACGACCATCGGCCAAAGAAACTTCCACCACTGGGTAGAGCTCAGTGTCTTCGCCTTCAAATCGAGGACGAAGAGGGTGTGTCGCCCCTGAATCCACCAAGCCCACATCATTTCCAACATTCAACTTTTTCATCTTGAACGTCTTCATAGACTTCAGCTGCTGTTGAAGACGCTCCATGACATCCTTTCTCTCCTCTCCTCCTCTGGAGATAGACCAGACGCTGATGATGCCTGGCTTGTAGAACTCGACAACGACTTCAGCATCGGCCTCCTCAAGCAAGTCTTTCACCACTTCGCTCTGGCTTGACTGGCTTGAAACACCTGATTCTTCCTCCAGAACCACCTCCTTTTTCCTCCCCCTCGGCCTTGGCAACCCTTGGCTTCGTGGGATTGGATTCTGAAGAAGGTCCATGAGATCTTGTGCAAGCTGGGGCAAGGTGTTCGGTGCTTCCGCAGGTGTAGCAACGACGCTTCTCATCCTTGACGTCGTGGCTAAAGTGCACTCCTTGCCTCTTCTGCATCCTGAGTCAGTCAAGTAGAAGCGGCACTTCATCTTTGGCTTTTCCTCCTCACCTGACTTCTCTTTCTGCTTCTGCTTCCCTTTCTCCGCATCCATGGACTTGATCTTTGGCTCCACCTTCGAGGTCACAGCAGCAGCCCGCTTCTCTGACAAGGCAACCTGCTCAATCTCCGCCAAGAGGTGAGTTGCCAATTGTCCGACTGAAATGTCTGTGGGGCGTGCGTCAACACCCAAAGAGTTCCTGGCCAAACTGACTCGGAACCGAAGCTTCTTGTGTGCCTCAAACACCCGCTTCGTCAGCTTGTTCAACCCCTTCAAGAGGATAGCTGGATCGGGGGTCACTGCTCCAATCTCCTGCGTCCTCAGCTTCCACCTCAACCACTTTCTAATGACAGCTGGTGGATCACTGATTGATGCGACCTCCACCGGGTCCTCAAGGTTGCGCAGGAGGGTTTGTTTCTCCAGCACTCCTCCCGGGCAATACGTCAGCAGCAACTGAGTCAGGATCCCAAAGACACTCAACCTTCGGGCTGATATCAACTCTTCTTTGACCGTCTCTGGCACAGCCTGCAACAGCATCGCAGCCATCCTGCGTTCAAGCCTGGTCCGCTTCTCCACACTCACTTCAGCAGGAGGACGTACGTCATCTTGAACTCGATCCAAAGGCGACATCGCCATGTGCCGCTGATACCATTGTTCAGAGGCCTTGATCATCATGGACCACCAAAGTTCAGAGCTCGCAGAAAGGTCTGCAACGATCGGCTCCAAGGTCAACAGCCAATCGCCCAGTTGCAGTGGTCCTTGGTGTGCTGACCACTGAGGAAGAGTTGTCAAATCAGGTATGCCAGTTCTCACCACCTCCACTCCTCTGATCATGCCCGTCTCCTCCTTGTTCTCGGTGACTCTTTTGTGAAGATCTTTCATCGTCTCCATCATGATCATCATGATCTCCAATGATTTCTCTGTGAAGCCAGCATCTCCACCCGTTGAAGCGCCTCTGCTTCAAATGGATCTGGTGCTCGCTCCTTCTGTGGGGGTCTAGCAGCCTCCTTTGGGGTCTTAAACTCTGCGGTAAACGCTGCTTGAGCCTGTCGAGAGAATGCTTGTCCGGCGTCGCCGGATGTGGCAGCATTACTCTCGTTTCGACTAGCCTCAGGGAGGAATGGGGGTCTTGCAGCCTCCTTTTCTTCCCTTTCCTCAACTTCACAACGATGCAGCCAGGCAGAGTCCTCGTCTTCAGTTCCTGGCTTCAAACGCGAATTCTGTTCCTCAGGTGTTGAAAAACGTGGCTCCTCATCTTTCGAACCCTTCTCAAACGCCTGTGATCTAGACCTCAAACGCTGATTCTCTTCCACAAGTTCTTGAATCTGCCTTTTGAAATCCTCCTTATCTTTTGCAGACTGCATCTTAACCACTCCAATTCCTTTTCCATCTGGCCCTGCAAAACCCTTGACGCATCTTGTTCTAGAAATGCAGGACGATGAACAGGAGGATTGAATGCTGACTGCTGAATCCCATACAACCATGGTGCCTGGCTTTGGATGACGGCAAACTGTCTCAACTGCTCATCAGAAAACAGGGGGCCAGACAACTGCCTAGGGGCCTAGCTGACTCAGTCATGCTAGCCGATCCCGCCGACTGTCCTCCTGGAGTCGCCACATCCACAACCTTCGGCATTCCAGGGCTAACCATCGTGCCATCTCCCTTGTCGACGGCCGTTTTCTTCTCATCCATCTCGGAAGGAGAGCCGCCATTTCCAAGAGCAGGAGGATCAGGAGGAGGATCCGTTGGTGGCAAAAGCTGTTCGGTGGCAGAACCCTGGCTAGGTGTCTTAGCTGTTTGTTTCACAGTTTCTTCCTGACTCTCAACCTTGATTTCACCTTCACTAACAGCCCTATCTTCCAAAGCCTTCTCACCTCTTTCTAATGCCTCACGTTTCATCCTAGCATCAGCTCTCCTCATTTCTTCCTGACCTTGCTCCAACTCTTGACTTGTTGCTAATATCCTTCTCATATCTGCCATCTCTAAGTCAATTGGAGTTTCCAAGCTGGCCGCTTGGGCTCATAACCTGGGAAATCCCAGGTTTCGAATTCGGGTCCCAGCGCCTCCATGTAGCAGTTGAACTCCTTCTTCTTTTCGCTCAGCCGCTTGAAGTTCAATCTTGAGGCTTTAAAAGGGTAGCTGCAGCAGCAGCAAAATTGGAAAATGTGAGCATGCAGTGAAATGTCTATGGAAAATGCTAGATGAGGTCATGCGCTTCCGCAGTATAAAACACAATAAAACATTCCAAATAAAATATCACATGAATCATATGGAGTGAAAAAATGAATCAACCCAGCTTCGCAACCCAACACCAGGCTCCAGGGTTGCAGCGTTGCCCTTCTGTTCTGGGTTTTGGGCTTGGCGCGAAACGATGCACCACTCCGAGACCCAGAGATTGAATCGCAACAGTTGCTGTTGTTGGGAAAAATGTCAATTTTTACTTGTTGTTTCGTGCAAAAGAAAAATGATCGTTGTTGAAAAATGACATTGATAGTTGGAGAAACAGCAGAGAAAACTCAACACTACCAACACTTGAACGGGCAAGGGTAGAAAAACAATGAGACAGCCACAACCACGACAAAAACAACAGAAACGCATGGCAAACACTTGACAGACACGAAAAAGATTTGAAAGACTCATGTCAATGAGACAGCTACAACCACGACAAAAACAACAGAAACGCATGGCAAACACTTGACAGACACGAAAAAGATTTGAAAGACTCATGTAGCTGGCTTTGACACTGGGGTGCCAGGCCCGCTTGCGCACAGGCACAAAGCCGTCATCCAACATCTCTAAGATCAGCCTCAGGCTTCTTGCACGACAAGAAATGTGGCAACAAGGTGCAACGAGATGCAACGAATACTTGCACACCTTGCACACACCTTGCATTATCTTGCTTGGTATTGCGCAATGCGAAAATGCTGCCACCTTGGCACCTAAAAAGATTTTCCACTGCGCAAAAAATTGGATGTGCAGCACGCCACACAGACAACAGAACGAGGCAGAACGACGCAGAACACAAACATATCGAGTCGTATCGAGGGTCGTATCGAGGGTCGTATCGAGGGTCGTATCGAGGCGTATCGAGTCGTATCGGTGGAGCTCCTCTGTGTCTCTTGCGTAAGCAGTTCTCGGTCTTGCGGGGTACCTAAAAGCCCCAGTGCCACCACAGCCCGGCAGCGCACAAAGCAGTCCTGGTTGAAAACCGCTGTAAGAGCAACGTTGAAATCGTTCAAAGCACTTGCTGTTCAAATGTCGAAACATGTCGAAACATGTCGAAACATGTTGGAACATGTTGAAATATCGAGTATATCGAATCGAAGTGACACAGGTCGAGGCTCGGTTCACAGCTCGGTTCACAGCTCAGTTCAGCTCTGTCGTTCACGTGCTCGGTCCTCATCCCCAAGGCAGACTGAGATCTTGCTGACAGCCACAGCATCCTGCAGAGTTGTCATTTTTGTCAACTTTTGTCCATGCCTTCATGGTTTTCCATGTCTCCCATGGTCGAACGTCTCCCATGGTCGAACTTTCAGTTGCTCCGGGTGATGTCATGATGCAAATGAAGGACAGGCAGCTCCTGTGGCAAGGCAACTTGAACCACCGCGTCCACTGCAGCCTGGCGTCAAAAAAGCGCTTTCATCTGGTGTAGCAAAAAACAAAACTCGACGACGGATGGCCCGAGAGCGTAGAGGAGCAGGGTCTTCTGTTGTTAGTATTGAGACACTATATTACAAGACAATATATTAAGATGTATTATAGGCAGACAAGACAAGTAGTATCAAGACAATAAATTACAAGTACAAGACACTAATTTGCATCGTATCCTTCGTATTGTTTTTCACACACAGAACCTTTTTACACACAGACGCTTTTCTCACAAGCTGTTACACACAGGAGCTTTTACACAGAGACGCTTTTACACACAGAAGCTTTTACACACAGACGCGTTTACACACAGAAGCAATTACACACAGACACTTTTACACACAGAAGCTTTTAAACACAGAAGCTTTTACACACAGAAGCTTTTACACACAGACTCCTTTACACACAGACGCTTTTACACACAGACACTTTTACACACAGACTCCTTTACACACAGACGCTTTTACACACAGACACTTTTACACACAGACCATTTTACACACAGACACTTTTACACACAGAAGCTTTTACACACAGAGGCTTTTGCACACAGACTCCTTTACACACAGACGCTTTTCCACACAGACGCTTTTACACACAGAGGCTTTTACACACAGACTCCTTTACACACAGACGCTTTTACACACAGACACTTTTACACACAGACCATTTTGCACAGAGACGCTTTTACACACAGACGCTTTTACACACAGAAGCTTTTACACACAGAAGCTTTTACACACAGAGGCTTTTGCACACAGACTCCTTTACACACAGACGCTTTTCCACACAGACGCTTTTACACACAGAGGCTTTTACACACAGACTCCTTTACACACAAACGCTTTTACACACAGAGGCTTTTACACACAGACTCCTTTACACACAGACACTTTTACACGCAGACGCTTTTACACACAGACGCTTTTACACACAGACGCTTTTACACACAGAAGCTTTTACACACAGAGGCTTTTACACACAGAGACTTTTACACACAGCACTTTTACACACACACACACGCACTGCTGAACACACACTAGACAAGAATGGATCATTATATGATCCGGCAGGAACTGAATCCTGAAACATGCAAACCAGCCTAGATCTTTAGATTAGTAAAAGAGCCACATGAGGTACTTCTCGAAAACGATGTAGGGCATCCGAAATTGTCAAACGTAGTCATAACCAGATTCCATAGAGTTTTGACCAGCATGTTGAAATCCAAAATAATGTTTCGGCGATTGTTTCCCAAAATAACCCATAGTTCGTCGGCGACAGGATCTCGGCGAAAATAAGTCACAACACATAATACTGTCGGCGATATGGTTTCGGCGAAAATCTGAGGAAGGTTCTGATGTATGTAAATTTCAAAATTGATTTCAGATTGCGACAACAGTGCAGTAAAGTGAAATTGTCAAATAAACGACGCGGAGGTTCTTGGGTTCAGCCTCTTCCCATTCCAGTAAAATTGGCAGGTACGTGACTCCAGCGTCCCGGAGTCATATCAGTCATGAATGCAGCCCTCTTCGTTGGGCAATCAGCTGCAAACATGAGATTGCCCCCCTGCAAATTAGTGACAACCAATCAGAAGTTTTACATCTGTTCAGATGGTACACACACACACCTCGCATGTAGCGAGGTCGGTTTTTTGGAAGAACTTCGCTGGCGGAATCGGCAGGACACCAGTGAAAGTGAACCTGTAGTAACCTAATGTACAAACGGGCGGTCACTTCAGTCAGAAGAGGAATTCGGAGCTTGTAGAAGGACTTCCATAGCATCGTGGAAGCTCATGCGTTCAACCATCGCCCAAGTCTGATCGAATTCACCCGATGCCATAGCAGCTTTCAAGTTGTCAGATAGATCTTTGGCTAATTCATGGATCCGGGTGGTCAGCCTTGGTTCATCTCCAGGAGATGTCGTCTCAATGGGCACATTGTGAAAAGGATGGTGTCCATGTACAAGGGGAATCTCAAAATGATGTCGCCAATAGTCCGCTGTGCGCAGGGTCACGACATCGGGAATGCCCTAACAAAGGAATTTCTTCAATGAATAGCTCCCTGGTGTTGTTGGAGTGGGTAATGACCTTAAATTGGATCTGGTGAACTACGCGAGAAGAGAATTGAGCACGATGGAGGTAGTTGTGTGTAGAACTTGACTCCGTCGGAAATGGAACGCCAGGAGGTGCTGGTCCTGAATATGTATCAGAATGGGCCAGGGTACCCGTAGCAGGTGCCGTACTGTCAGTTGCCAAAGGTGCCGGAGTAGGGTTGGTCGTAGTGTCGGGAGCTCCTGAGTGACATAGTGCAGAAGTCGAGGCGTCTGGTACTTGAACTGGGTCGGTAGGAGCGAGTCCACGAGTAGGGTTCGAAGGCCAAGACAAGCCCGCCACGGTCGCGTCTCGTTTGTGTTCCATGGGTGAAACTGTCACAAATACGAGAAATGGTGCAACAACGGCTGAAGCATCAAGAATAGCATAAGAGAGCTAATCACGAAGTTGATAATATTAACAAAAATGATAAAGGTGAAAACCAGTCCTCAATCAAGTGGGTCAATTGCGACGGAGAAGCCACAGCTCCAAGTCGAATAAAATAGAAATCGAAAAATCCTTTGTGTTAGTGGGGTGTCAAGGAGGAATTGAAAACCCTGTAACATTGTCTTTTTGGCCGGCTAGTGCATCAGGGCAGGATCACACCGGAGCTAACTTTGTAGCATTGCAAACGTAGTACGAAAGGCTGTCTGGTACCCGGGATGAGGAAAAAGGATTCGCGGGAATTGTACTGCCGAAGTCGCCACTCAGGTCGGTATGCCTCAAAAAGCTGCAAGACCGTCATATCATTGGAAACTTGGAAGGTATCACCGTCCAAGTCGCAAAAGCGAAACTCCAGGTTCGAGGGATCAATTTGGATGTCCCATTGGGACCTCAATCTTTTGGAGATACAAAAGCGGAGTTCGCCAATTGGGATGAGGCCGGCTTCAACTGGTTCCATCTGACGTGACCAGGTAAACAAAGCTGCAAGTTCAAAGCCACTGACATGTCTAAAATTGGAATTCACCAGAGCCATGTAGTGTTCACGGTCAGGTTCGCTTCGGTGAGTCAATGCCTGTAAGGGAGAGAAGTCAACCAAGATAAGGACAGGTCTGTTTGGAGGAGGGTTCGCATCACCAGGGAGGCCTCGATGTCCAGCAATCCACCCAACGGTTCGTGTACCAAGCGGTGTCTCAATCGTGGATGTAGCGCGATATGGATTGGGTCGAGAAGAACGAGCCATTGCGTCGAATGTGAAGTATCGAGGATAAAGCGAAAAGCCCAAGCTGCAGAATGGGTTGGA